AGACTGCATCTGCAAGTCCTTTATCTCGCCAAGTTCGTTACTAACCCACCGAGAAAAACTGTCAACCTTTTTTAAACTATCCTCTTTCTTTAACAATGATTTCCTTAGATGTAGCGTTTGGTTAGCACTTGCTTCATATAGCAGATCCTCAGGGCCTAATTTAGGTATATATGCTGCTTCAATACTTGTAAACGGAGCTTGAAAACTACCCCCAATAGGCTGCTGATTTTGACTGCCAAGAAGACTGGAAAATGTCCCAAAATTTTCATGTGCTCTTTGCCCAAGTAAGGCCAGATCAGTATCATCAGTCATTCCAGAATGTGAATCCATGGGCCATTTTTGCAATGGCAAGTCCTGAACGGGAATCTACAGAGACGAGAATCTCAAAATCAGCGATTTTAGGATAACCAACATTCATGACAGTAAAATGCATGCTGGAATAATTAAGTAAACACATTAAAGAGTGGCACCATAAGACAAACATAGGCATAATTAATCGGATAATCTGATTGAGACATTTGTATGTATCAATTTCGGGGAAAGGTGCCTACTACTGGTAAGAATCTCTGTAAAAAAACATTACCCCTTTCTCACATTGGCAACTTAGCCAATAGAAAAAAACATATAGACAATTGATATTTCATCAAGGTTATGATTTTGCAATGACTTTTATCAAGTATTTTTGCAATGACTTTTATCACGTATATTTCTCAAAGAAAAATTCATAAGCTTTATCTTTTCTGCAGAGTACAGGGTACTTCTCTCACTTTGTGCATTTCTTCTCTCACTCAAATCTACGAAGATTTTTTTATGACTAGCTTAGAAACAATACCTGCAAGTTGAGTTGGTTTTGAAGAGGATTTCTGAGATGCTCAGCCGTTAACGGGGAACCTTTCTCTGTATTCCCTCCCACGGGTATTAATCCAGTATTCGAAGGCTGTGTGTGAGTCAACAGAGTATTATAAGGTAGGTTCTGTAATCTTGCCAAAGAATTATCAAAGGAAGCATCCCATGCTGGGACCTCAACTGATCTTTGGGAGTCACTTTCTTTGACTCTATTCCCATGAACCTGCGAAACAATTCCAATTCCAGGAGCTGATGTCCAACCATCTCGATTTCCTAGAAAGGGAAGACATTCTCAGCGAGCATACAAAAATTTGGTAAGGCAAGGTAGCCTGTAAAGCAGAAAGCTAATGTAGTACCCAAAATAGAGGACGGATTATAAGAATTCATTGTACTAGCATTCTGCTGATGTCTTATCAGAGGAGCAACAGCTTGAGGTTCACGATTTGCTTGCAAACTGGAACTTGCTTGACGACTATCCCCTGCATCAATACTGATATAAGTTTGTCTTGAATATTACATGCAAACCAAGAGCAGGAATACAATAAACCACAGAGACTCATCCATATAACAGAACTGTATTGAAAAACAAAAGATACCAAAGCACATAAAATAAAAGAGAAATTATATACCAGAATCAGCATCTTCACATAGTGGTGACAATGTGCTGGATGGGGTTGCTGTTGAATCAATATTCACAGAAGTGGTGCCACTCAGAGAATTTGAATTGTTCTCTTTAATTCCACTGGAATTCATCCGGTTTCCCTGCATAATAGCATGAAGTACAGCATAAGATGACTATATCAAAACCACCCATAGAAAAAGAGCATCCACATGAAAAGGACGTGTAATGTTCCGAGATGGAAATTCATATTCTAAGAATATATTAGTACAGTATGAAAAGAATAGCTGTACCTTAACCTCCAAGTAGTGAACGAAAACAATATGCATCAGATCCCTGTATCCATATAGCATAAAAACAGAGGACATCAGCACTGAAACTGAAAAGTAACACAAAATGAAGAAAACTACTAACAAGCACATTTCATTCCAGTAAATCAGGAATTTAGAGATCGCTTGAGATTAATGATCCTGGCGTTCCACACCTAATTCTTTGGTTCATTCTTGAATGACTAGGCTGCTATGTTTCATATTCGCAATGACAACATTATTCTCGATTTCACCTCACAAGCCAATGAATTGATGTTCTTTTTACAGCAGGATCAAAAAAAAATTATAATCACTATATATTCCCTTCTTATTGCTCATGTTCTGCTAATTTAATAACCAGTCGTTCCCATATGACACTAGCAAATTACCAGGCTAAAGAAAAATGCAGTTTGACCAGTGAACAGAAATACAGAAAAAATAAACATTTGCAGTATACTAAACAGAACAAAAATATGAAAGATGGACAAACATAGACTCACTGTTCAAGCATCCAGTAGCAACGCCTTTGGAAATTCTCATTGTCTTCCCCATGTGCATAGTAACAATGTAACACATCAATGCTTCCTACCTATATATACTCTAAACAATATTACTCCAACATTTGAGATATTACTAAAAATTCGCGAAGAGGAAACATCAATAGAATATTAACCTTGAGCTTCTCATGAGCCTCTTTCACCGTTTTTCCGTCTTTCTTCTTCCTCCAGTTGTGCCCGTCTTTCCTAAAATATCTGAGCACCTTCCTATCAAAGAGAAAGAGTGAACCACCTAGAAGAGCACGAGATTTCTGTCAATTTACAGAAGACAAAAACAGTCGTATATTGTTCTCAAGGCGCAACACACAAAAGTTTTAAAGTCTTCGGGACTAACAGGATAAACAGGGAAATGAGTATACCAGGAGAAGCAGGACTTTGTTAATGCAAGACGGAATTAAAACCCAAGCAAAGCTAAAGTAGCCTAATTCAGTATCCTAGTCATTGCCTATTCATGTACTTGATAATAGTATTTTGCAACCAAAACTGAAGAAAGTCAACAAAAAAAAAACATACTGGGTGGTCGGTTTGGAGGCTCTGACGCAATATGAAACTTCTGATGGTTCCGAAGAATTTCACAAATCTCAGCAGGCCTCAACCACCTGTGTTGTGCTTCTGACAGCAACTGTTCGATATCTACAAGTCCACAAATGCAAAAGAAACACACACACATCAATGCTACAAACTTTGAGGTTAAACAGAGAAGGTAACACTCTCTTACACTAACACCAATATCAATATAGCATCAATTCAACTAAAAACGGGAACAACGCACCCATAAATCTCATTACAAAACTAATAAACAATCGAAACTAAAACCTTTCCCCTCACGAAAAAATGTCGCAGTTGAAAAACAAACGACGGCAACAAAAACCTAAATAAATGATCAGATCCAAACTAGCAAAAAAGAGCAAAAGATGGGAGAGATTAGAGAGACCTAATCGAGGTGCAAATCCGAAAGATCCACGATCCGCCATGGAACATAAACACAGAAAGAGATCTCTAGCTTGTCGTAATCACGGAGAATCAAAGAACCCTAAATCGATCTAAAACTGAGCTAAACTGTGTATATATATATTTCCGCCCTTTTGGAGATTTTTTACAGGTGTGAAAGCGAATCGGATTTTAGTTTCCTTTCTCTGTTTTGGGGGGTAGCGAATCGAAGGAAATCGGAAGGAAATCGCCGATTTGGTGGTGGAGGTTGTTTATAGAATAGTGAAGGAAAACACTATTATCCAATAATAATCTTACACGTGGATATAGTGAAGCAAATCGCCGATTTGGTGGTGGAGGATGAAATTTGGGCATG